CAGTAGCTCTTTGTACATTTGATTAAGAAGCCATTTGTCTTTTATACGACTGGCACACATTTCTCCATAGTCGTCATTTGCCTGTGGTGCGACGTCGCTGCTGCTAGCGTGTGGGTACGTCGTGTATGTCGCCGTGCAGGAGCTGGTGTCACATATTTGTGATGCATCACCATGGGGGACCACAGTCCCTCTCCGGGAATGTGGCCCTTGGGCTTCACTGCCAGAGGCCATCGGAGTCGTCGCCCGTGTCCATTGTCAGCGGCCTTTGAGTCACGTTAAACGCTCTCATCTCTGAATTCCTCACGGCTGCTTTACGCTAATTGCTCTCACTTAGCAGTGCATCACTGTGTGCTCCCTGGTGGCCTTTGCTTGTGTCCAGACTGGGTTCTGTCTGTTCGCCTAGGTGCTGGCTCGTGAGAGCAGAGGCCTAGCCTCCGGGATCCGTGTCCCCTCGTGCCCACCACTGTGCTGAGAAGTTACTCCAGGTCCAGCGAGTGCCTATTTAGGGCTTTGCGACCCGGTTCCCTCGCCAGCTATAGAGGACAGGGGTATACCGTGGGGGGAACGGAAAGCTCCCTCTTTTGTCTAGCCTAGACCCCAGGCTGTATCCCTTGGGTGGGACCAGGCCACGCAGATGGCTTTAGATCTAGCGACAGCTGACAGTCCCGCCACCTTGGCCTTTCCCAAGCTCTTTACTCCCCCTGTGACCCCCAAGAACCACGTCCATCTGGGAGAGATGGGAATGGGCTCACCCGAAACCCCTCCCTCGCCTCCCCTTTCTGAGCTCAGAGGTCGGAGGCAGCTGGCTGAAGAAGGAGGAACGGAGGCAGCATAGGTTCAGGAAGCCACTGGTTTTAATGGGGGCGGACGGTCGGTAAGGGAGCCGGTGGGGCAGGGAAGGGCAGCCGCTGTCTCCTGGCCCTGGGCGGGGCTGGGGAGGAGCCCGAGCGCCCCCTCTCAGGCCCGGGGCCCTTGGCGGGGAGCGAGGGGAAGGGGAACAGAGGCACCGAGCACAGGGCGAGACCGCGGTGGCCTGGGATGGTGAAGGTGGGACAAGGCTGCGGTCCGCGCATGTCCAGGGGCGGCGGGGGCCGGGCTGGGAGGAGGCCGGGGGTCGAGCGGTGAAGCGGGCTGTAGGACTGGACCCCCCAGACGCGCTGGCCGGGCCGACCCTCGCGGCTACTTCCGCCCGACCTGCGCCATCAGGTGAGCGTTGGCCGCGGCCTGGGCGCGCAGGTTCTTGGCCTTGGCGATGTTGAAGAGGATGTTCATGATGTTCGTGGGCACGTCCAGGGACAGGGTGAGCTTG